GTCAAGTATGTCCGACTGAAATTGTCCGAATGGTATCCGCAAAGTGATCATATTCAACCATACACTACGAAGTATCTTGGCGCAGAGTGAATTTACAGTTAAATACTGCAGAACTAAGTACAGTGAAAGACGGACTTTTAGTCACACCGAAGTTTCGTTGTTACAAACGTGATTAATGGCTAATGATATAGAAGGGATGAATTATAGCCGTCTCATTGGCTATAAAATAAATACGCGCACAAAGAAATATGCAAAGCCTCAAATCATTCAGTGAGCCCAAAGCATTCCAAATTTTGAGCATCATGGAGCTCGACACCCCCAACACGTCCCGAGGAGGTCGCCGACATGTGTATGCAATGTCGTTGAAGAAACGAGGTATCGCGCTGTTACCGCACAAGTCCATCCGCAAGGTGGCAGGCGACCTCTCGGTCTCGTACAGCGTCGTGCGCACCTGGAAACGCGTTTCAGACAAGATCGACCAACTTGCGTGGAGCAGGGCGGCCTGCTCCACGCAAGTTGGTCGACTACAGGGATGTCATCGAACAATTATTTACATGGTGTGATGACAACAAATAGCGTTAACTTTACGGTACGCAACCAATATAATGGGCTGGCTATCAACTGTCGGGCTCGGCTCCAACGTTTGAGGGAAAAGGACCAATGACTGTATTTGGGCAACTGATGATCACGCACCAAGTTCACGCTTGCAATCATATCATCCAGAACCTACATATTTCTACAGTGTACCCCGGATACTACATACATAGATGGAGTGTTGCTTTCTACAATAACATGACCAAGTACTCCACCTTCTATTCCGTATTACCGGTAGTTGGCGACAGTGCTTATATCAATAACAAGTCCACCTTGATGGGTCAGAGACGCCGCCCCACACCCACGAACCCAGTAACTAAAGTATCTACTAACCAATCCCGCGCATTCTATCGACGTGTGACGACTTGACAGTTCGCGCGCGTCTTAACTAGTACACCACAACTACTAGTACTCGATCGGTCACTTTGCAATTTGCTACCAAGTACACTCCCCCTCATGACCGACCCACTGCCACATCGCATTGAGCACGGCCCCAAGCGCTTCGTGGTGGGCTTCCAGGCCCGCGTCCCCGTCGGTCCGTCGCCAATGATCCTTTCCCTGTGGGAGCTACTGAGATCCACCGTTTCGTTGA